CATTTCTAAACCTACAGAGTCGAATGCTTTTCGCATGTCTTGGAATAGAACCCATAGCTCATTGTTTTTTTGTCTTGTATCTTCGAGCAGATTGTTCATTATATGAATAGAGCTTATTGTACTGTCACCTGAAAGCCCAGCATAATTAGGACCTTCCAAGACATTGAAGTCTACTAGAATCTTGTCTAGTCTGTGAGTTAGAACTCTTACTACTGTTTTGTGAAAAGTTTCTATTAGGACAATTAGACACGTATTAGACAAATTATAATTCCAATCCTCTCCTTTAGGTATTGGATAGAGTTAACTAAGCTTCCATTTAGCTGGGATTTCCCTTTCTTTGATGCAAAGATTAGCGAGATGTCTAAATACTCTTTGTGCTATTGTGCCTGCTTTTTTTATCAGTAGGTAACTTATACCAGATGGATCTGGCGCAGACTTAGGCTTTATATTTTTGAGTGCCTTTAACTATTCTTCTTCAGAGATCTTATCCTCTAAGCTGTTATATATTTTGCTATCTACCATTTCTAGTAGGTTATATACTTTTTTCCATCTAGTTGGCATATTAGAGGAGTAAGTGTTTCTTTTGCGGAATTGCTTTTTGAAGTAGTTTTTCACTTCTTCCAGTACTTTTTCTTTCTGGTTCACAAGTACTATTTATGAGTCCTCTTTTTTGATGATTCTATCTATGACCACCCGTTTTGAAGATCTTTTAAGCAAGCTACTTATCATATATTTGAGTTCTCCTTGTATTGCTTCACAGTGATGTTCAACTGCTATATTAATTTCTTCAAGATCCTCTTTCTTTCTTGCTTGCTGAGCTTTTAAATATATAATCTTCCACCATATCTTCAGCTCTTCTTGTCTTTTTTTGGTCCACGTAGTTTCAGAGAGCTCTTCTATTTCTGTTTCATATAGACTATTTATTCTTGCTATTTTTGCATTCGTTACAAACTTGTCTGTGCTATCGATATTTTGACCTATTTTTGAAGAACATTGTTGACACATGCCTCTAATTATTTTCAGATCTTTTTTAATATTTCTGCTCTCTCTCTTTTTTCCTGTGACAGGTTTTCCTACTGTGGATTTCTTCCCTAGAAGAGTTGATCTTGCACATTTGATTATGCTTGTTGCAATTATGTCCCACAAGTTATCTTTGTTTAGTGATTCTAGATAAGCTAGGTCATGCTCATCTCTTATGATGTTCAGCTTCTTCTTAAGTGAGCTGTCTAGTTTTGTTTTATAATCCTCCCAGTTTTCTTTTGTCGCTTTGTCAAGGAGGAATGACCATCTTTTCCCTTTTAGTCTTTTTTCACTAGCCAGGGATCTAGTTTTCTTCT